ATAATCTAAACAATTATATAAACCTTATTATGCTGCCAAATGCTAGCACCATCTATTTAATTAAAAAAAGCACCATATATGTAGTATTTGATTTGATTACAAATGCCACCACCATATAAACAATTATATATTTTTATTATATATATTTAATTGAAAAAGCCAAACAATAAACAATTATATATAATCTAAATAGTATGTAAACAATTATATACAGTCTAAACAATTATATAAACCTTATTCTGCTACCAATGCTTTATTATATATATTTAATTAAAAAAGCCATTATATATATAGTATTTGATTACAAATACCGCCTCCTTAAATCACATTTTTATTATAAACAATTAATTAACTTACTTGCAAATGTTGACATATATTTGTTAATAGATAATATATTCTATATTCAATCAAAATTGTAGATTTTTCTTCCTCACTTGACTTTTCAAGAAACCATCAACAAAAATAGAAAAACATTATCCCTGGTGATAGAATGAGAATCAAAGATGTTGTTATAGAACTACATGCAACTAAGGCAATGTTGCTTTGGACAAGGGTTTGTGAATGGAAAAGGAAAAAAAAACTACATGTTACTATCACACAATCAGTTTCGGTTGAATAAGCAAGAAAGAGATAGAGAATATAAGGAAAATAGCTCAAAACAAAAACAAGAATGCTATGTATGTGAAATAGGGTTACTAATGTAAGGTTATTTGGGTTTGGATTTTAAGGAAATATGGCATATTTGAAATAACTCATAATTGCAAAAGGATAAAATTTGAGCAAATTGTAAAAACTATGGAGAAATGAGGGATTTTTGCAAGTAAAACAAAGTTTTAAAGCTTGAAAATTTAAACAAAGATTTTAGCTACAAAGTTAAAAAGATCAAAGGTGAGGGAAAGTGAGATAAGATAAGTTTCAGGCGAGGAAAAGACTGAAAGGCATGGTGGGGACGGTGGGAACAAAACTTTCACTACTTTTGTTTTAATAAGTTTAGATTTTTTAAAAAAGATTTTCATGCTCAAGATGTGGAAGCATAAATACCAATCTTCTTCAAGTGTTTTTTTAAGCATTAATTGGATTTGTTTTGCATAGACCTCTTACATATGTATCATTCTGTTGGAGAGAATATTTTATATTAAATATTATTTTATAAAAAAAAACTTTTACAAATAACATAGAAAAATATTTATGCCTAAAATGTGAGGGCATTTGGTTCACAAAATCATAGATTCCAGGGAAATGTGTGATCTTTGAGGAAATGTGATACCTGGGGTTTTCTTTCATTTTCAAGGCATCCTTTGTTTAGATTCACTCATTTGGTTGAGGGAAATCCAATATATTAAATTCTAAATAATTAGTATAATCTCATTGGCATATACGATGGTAACTTAAATAATCCACTTTTTAAGTAATGAGGATTATTCAAGGTATTTTTGGATAAAAAATGCCTTGAATGATCTTTAGAAAATCTTGGCATATGGTTATTCAAGGCGTTTGTGGCAAAAAATGCCTTCAATAATCCCTTCATGTTTGTGACAAAAAAAGTCTTGAATAATCCCTTTCAATTTTTATGAGGGGTGATATTTGAATTCATCTAGCATTTTCCTTAATGGTGATATTGGGGAACCCTTCGGTAACGATATCAAAAGTCATTTTTTATTTTTCTCTATGACGATATCTAAGAACCTTTCAATGGTAATATTTAAGTCCTTTTACACTTTCTTTGGTGGCAATATCCAAGATCCCTTTAGTGACGATATCTAAAGTCTTTTTGCATTTTTATTGGTAATGATATTTGGAAACCCTTCAGTGGCAATATCTAAAATCATTTTACATTTTCTTCGGTGGTGATATATGAGGTTTTATTTAAATTTATAAAGTCTCTAATGGGAGAAGTTTGTCAAAATCCAAAAAAATTAAATTAAAAAAGTTTAAAATTTTAAAAACAAAAAAAAATCTAAAAATAAACTCTTTAAGTCATTAATCCCAGAGAAAATTGTTTCCTCTGTCCTTGCATTATTCTTGATTGAGATCTATGTCTATTTCAAGATTTTCTTTGGCTTTAGGAAAATTTCATGATTTTTAAATAAGCTTATTCTTAGGTTGATAAAAGAGAAGTAGCAAAAATTGAGAAAAAAGTCAAAAGTCAACTTAATTAAACTTATTCAAATTTGGCTGAATTTTGTCAAAACCAAGTCAAATCTAGGTTGTTTTAGAAGATTTAAACCAATCCTTTAAGCTTGCAAATTGTGTTTTAATGTTGGGTTATAAGATGAGAATAGTTTGAGAAAGCTTTGAGTTGAAAAATCACCATTTTGTTGGCTTTTAAAAAGTTGAATCTTGAAGTTGTTTCATTTTCATTTTGTTATTTTAATTTTAAGAACATTGAATTCCATGTCCTTTAAATTTATGATTTTTAAATTCTCATACATTTTAGCTTGCTTTGTATTTAGCTTAAATGGCTTGCTTCACTTTAAGTCCTTTATGGTGTTCATTTTATCACATACTTTACATTAATTTGTTTTAATTTTGTTTATTTCTCATCCATCATTTGTGCATTGATGATTGATATTGCTCATGCATGATTTTTTTATGTTTTTCTAATTCTTACTTGCTTTTCACATGCATACAATATACTTGTTACATTAAAATAGAACTTTTAAGGAGAAAAGAGGAATTATAAAAACCAAACTTCCTTTGAAAGTCTACTTAGATGTTGGGGATAATTAAAGAGGTTTAAGTGATCAACAATTTTCATTTTTCTTCCTAAACCCTAAGTTCTAAAGTCAAACCCTAAACATAAAGCAAACCCTAATCCCCAAAGTCAACCTTAAGTTTTAAAGTCAACCCTTAAACCCAAATCCTAAATTTTAAAGTCAAACCTAAACCCCAAAGTCAAATCTTAAACTTGAAAGTCAAACTTTAAACCCAAAAGTCAAAGTCTAATTAAATCCTTAAAAAAACCTCAAACCCTAAATCTATCCCTAAACCAAACATTGGATTACCTAAGGCTAAACCCCAAAACCAGTCCAATCCCAAAACCTTGAACCTAATCCGAACATTCAAAATCACTCCAAAATTCAAAAGAATTTTATGAAAATTTCAAATAAAATAATATGCTTTGAATGTAGCTTAGAAGATAGGGTATTTAGAAAATTTTATTTTATTAACTTTTTTGTATAATTCCTTATTAAAAATGAAAAAAGAATAGAAAACAAAATGGATTCTTGGATGTAAAAACTCGTATTTAAACTTTGTTTAGAGGTTGAAAAGTTTGGGTGATTTTTTTATATTTAAGAACTCCATTTCAAAATGAATAATGTCAATTTCATCCCATCATCATTCATTGCATTCATTTGCATATGTTTATTTTTAGATTATCATTTATATTCATTTCCTATGCATATGTCTTTTAATTGCTATTGTTTATTTGTTAATTGTTGCATCATTGGTTTTGTTGCATAAAAATATTTTCAATGAAAAAAAAAATTAAAAATATAGATTTTGAAATAAAACTGAAATAACCTATCGAGAAAAAAATTATTGATATTCTGCCTAAAAATTAGAGAATCACCAATAATAATCATTTACAAAAAACGTTATTTTTATTTTAAAGAAATATTGTGGTGGATCTTAAGTAAAAATACTTATTTTTAAATTATAGCTAGATGTTGAAAAAGTTTAAAGCAATTTTTTAAACCTTTAGATTTTTCACAATATTTCTAAATAAAATTTTCTTTTTATCTATTAAAATTGATTTTTTCAAAAAGTGAGAGAAATTATTATTAAATGTCAAGTTGAAACCAATTTTATCCAACATTGAAAGGATAATGTATGATTAATTGGTACCATTTTAAAATGAGCTCTATAAAAATATTAATCATTTTTCATGTATAATTGTATTTTTAAACCCAATACTATTTTTAAAAACCTAAAAAAGATATTAATGATGACTCCTATTTTTTTTTATCTTTAAATTTTTCGTCATATGATTAAGTTTTTGAACTTGTACATTGCAACATATACTAACAACAATTGAAATTGGAAGTGACATCATACGTGAATTTGCTTTTGAAAATTTTTTTTTCCCTTTCATTTTCTTTTTAAAATTTCGGTTCTTTTAGCAAATCAGAATAAAATTTGTGATTATCACAATTTTACGATGATATAAATTGAAGTGAAGATGAAAGGGTGGCTATTGGCATTTTTGGTTTCTAATATTTCATATTTTTGTTTTTTTCAATGCCGACAACCACCACGGCAACAAGTTTTTTGTCGAATTCGGGGCAAGGTTGAAGGGAGAAAGAAGAAAAAAAAGGAAAAGAGAGGAAAAAACGAAGAAAGGACAAGAAAAAAAATTACAAATTCACAGAAAGTTTCATCAACAACTCAGATGAACAAAAAAAGTTGTCATATTAGCACTTCAATGGAAATTTTGTAACTATGTTACATTTTACATATTAAAAAATACATGAATCAAATTTATGTAAATTATTATACAAAAATTAAAATTTGATTTTTGCATGAATACAAAGATCAATTTCTTAATTTGACCTCTCGTATATTATGTTGATTGCCGTTCAAAATCTAGAGTGGAGTATGTACGGGCGTGGTGAGGTAGAGTATTGTTCTTTTTGTTAATTTTGTCTAATGGTGTTTAAAAAGTGTTAGACAGAAAAAGAAACACAAGATCATTGAGCGTCAGTTTTTTAACCCATGGCTGATTTATTTCGCCTCAAACTTTACCTAAAAGAATAAGATACCAATGTAAAATGAGATTTAACTTTTTTTTAAAATCTAATATAAAATGCATAGAAAATCTTAAAGTCAAAATGTGCCATAAGACCTTGTGCTTTTCAATTTTTAAAAATTTAATCCTTCTAGTATTATTTAAAAGAATTTAGCCTTGTAGTATTATTTATTAAAAATTTCAATTCAATACAATGCATAATGATTAAATTCTTTAAAGAATAATACTATACAAACTAAATTCCTTAAAAAATAATATTATAGGAGCTAAATTTCTTAAATAATAACACTATAAGGACTAAATTCCTTTATATAATATTATAAGGACTAAATTCCTAAAATTCGAAAAGTACAAAAACCCATGACACATTTTAACCAAAATCTTATCTTAACATAAATTGAAACTACAGCACAAGAAGAATGCCTCGTAAGAGCAGGGAGAAGGGAAGCTCTTACGAACAAGAAGACACGAAGGGTCGATGCATAGAATAGAAGCTGAAACAAAATCTGAAAATTCTTTAGCAACTCTTAAATTGAAAAAACAAAAAAATTTCTCGACATCATTCAGAAGCAAAGAACATGAATTTTAGTTCATTTGCAACTCTACACGGGATAAAAATGTGCCACATTTTCAATATAAACTACTATATGGAAAGGTAAATTGCTATGACAGATTCTCAAACAGACAAACATCTTGATACTTAAATGCTATGTAGACTAGTACATGGCAAAACTTATAGAACCTCTCACCTCAAACGCATTTTGGATATAATATTGAAGCCATCAGAAGCGAGCCTTCCGTTTTCGAGCTGTGTACTTTGTGTCTGGGGGCACAACATTTCCCTTTCTTCTCATCTGTTCCTTCTTCTTCAAGACCCATTCTCTACCCTTGCCTTTCTTGTTTATTTTCTGCTTTTTTCTGGGTCTATGCCTGTCTGAAATGGAAACCTGCATAACCCCAGTAGCAATGGCAGCAACAAAAGCAACAATGAGCATAATAAAGGTTATAATATGACATGAAACTTGCATGCCATTTATCTATTGATTATTTATTTCCTTTTTAGAAAAAAGTGAAAGCCTTGTCCCAAAAAGGGCAATAGAGTATGTGATATGATATAGCTCACCGTCTGATTTTCTTCATCTCCACTGCTGTCATCATCACTGCAACTCTCTCCATCTTCGCCTTTTCCACAGGGAACGGCTGTGCTGAGGGACGGTGGACCACAAGTGAGGACAAGGTATTCTTTTCTCCTTTTGGTACTGGCAGAAGACGACAAGTTTCAAGTTAGAGTGCCAAAAATGACAACATAAAATGCCAATCCATATATCAATTAAAAAAAGCTGGAGATCTCCCATGTGAATTTAAATATTTACTTAAATTCATAAATGCATATTTTCACCAAAATTATATTCCGTGCATTAGGAGAATAGGACCTTCCCTACACCACCAAGGAAGACAGCATATAATAGGTGCAAAGAATTGGAATGCCAAGATAGATATGCCCACAAGGACATAATAGCAGAAAATAACACCAGTAATCATGAAATATTGTCAACAATTTCATGCAATAAATTCCATTGCCTTGCAAAACCCCAAACAAAAGAGACTTTAAATCTTGATTCCATTAAAGCATGTAACACATACCAGATAGTCCATTGAGGTGCAAAAACAATCAATTTTAACACAACTTCATTGAGAACAAGCAAAGACATGTATTCATGGAATAGAAACATCTCTTAATGCCTATGATAATTGCCATCAACTCAAAGCATCCCTCCCACCAAACATGCCCACAGACAAAAAAGAAGTCAAATTTAAAGCCCATCGTAAATTGCTCATACAGAATTGCAGCATACCTGTGTGGGTAGTCAACAACCACACCACCAGCAAATCCAGCACGCATTGCGTAACTCAAAATTAGCTCATGTTGGGCCAGGTTTTCAGGATATACTTGGAGCACTGCTCTTGCTCCCCTTGCAAAGCATCGATATAATGATCCAAAAAAAGCCCTAAAAATCATGAGAATCATCAAACACATTAAATTTGCTGAAATATATTTGCATGTATGTGTGGATGTAGTTTTTGTTGTGAAAAGTTAGGTAGATAAGAACCACAACATACTTTAATCTCAATCTTGGTTCATGAGAGGACTTGTCAGCATTGCATAGCCACTGCATGCCAAAGCAACAAAAGGGAAAAAAATCATGAGCAAGAATAAAATATTATAACTGCTTTTATTTTAACCTATTTGTATATGGGAACACTTTGAAGAATACAGCTTATGAAAGTTCTCAAAAGTTGAAAAAATAGCTGATCATAAGTTGCAGGCTTTTAATCCCTCCATTTATTTCCACAAATATTGAAGGGAAAATTTTACAAAAAAAACAATATATAGTGCCAACCACTTAGAATTTTAAGAAAATTGATTATTTCTTTCTCCACAAATCACCAATCTACATTTCTAAGACTTTTACTGTAAAGACAATGAGGAGACATTGTATACTTATTTGTTGAGATATAATTAAATTTAGCACTATTAAGTACTTGATAATAACCCAAACTTAAATATTAATTTCTTCCATAGCCCAAAAATTAAGACACAAAAATCTGCTCTCTCACCCCCATTTGCAACCTCTCCCTATGTTTTATTTGGTGATCATACGTAGCAGCAAGGATTACAGTGTCAACTTCTTTAACACCAATATTCAAATAGCCTTGTTTTTTATGATAAGGGAAAAAATACCATTGTGTTTTTCTCTTTTCATTAAAAGGGTAACTTAATAATGCATGCTAAACAAAGGAAACTTTATAAGTTTTAAATGTTTAAAATAGAATCAAACATTGGTTTTGGCAAAAACAAAAAGGAGTGGAAGTGCCACTTACAAAGAGGAAGACTGCAAATAAAAATTATTAATTCAAGGAACAAATATCGCAGAAAAATCAAGCAAATATTTGAAAGATGACAAGAAGATGCATGACATTTGAAATCATTAAACATATAGAAACAACAAGGAGATAATAACATAGATAGGTGTAGGAGTGTTTACTACCAGTATGCCAACATACTAAAGATTTCTCTGAAGGACACACAGAAATTATCCAATTGTCAAAGCCACGTTAAAGGACAGCTAACTCATGCATTTTTTTTCTCTTCCCAAAATCATAACAAATGTTCAAGCGTAATTCACTCCACAATACTTATATGCAAGGAAAGATCGTTCTCAATTAAAACAAGTAAAATTCTAAAGAGTGAGAATAAAATAAGAAAAAGAAGAGAAACAACGAACTAAGGCTCACTTTGGATTTGAGGGGGTTTCAACGGTAACATTTATTCACTCAAGAATGAAGTAGAAGTGATAATTTAACCAACAATAACTAAGTTTTACATTCACAAGGCAAGATTTACATAATTGAGTAGATTTGAACAAAAATATGTAAAAACAGTGAAGCAAAATATGCACCAAAAACAAACCTGAACGGCGGAGATACTTATAGCCCCATCGATAACTCCAGGTCGAAGTCCTAAGCCCTGAACCATAAATATAGTATAACAAATGACTCATTTTAGAAAATTTATGTCCGAAAACAACAACATTCATCAGTTTAATTTGAAAAGCTTTAAGTTTTTGGCAAATACCTGGCCCATATCACCAAGTAACAAATCACCCTCCACCTCCTTTTCCAATGCAACATCTATAAATCAAAAACCAAAAAATGAAAAAAAAAAAAAAAAAGAACCTTAAAATCATACCTTATAAATGTGTCATAAAATTAAATTTCAACAACCAAAAAAAAAAAAAAAAAAAACTTACTAAGCATTGAATGAGAAATGTCTAAGCCAATCCATTGGTGTCCATTCTCAGTTATTGTCTCCCCACTAAGCCCTGATCCACACCCTAAAATAAAAACAAATATTCGAAAGATTCAAAATATTGCGTAATTTTATTTTATTTATTTGGGGAAAGAATTAAACATACATACCGATATCAAGGAGCAACCTGGGGACTCCATCATCAGGTAAAGCGAGAAGCTCCAGTGCTCTCTCAGAAAGCTTTGTCTATTTTTCACAAAACCCAAATTTTAATGCTAATAATAAAATCCTACAAAAAAAAAAGAAAATGATTAATTTTTCAACTGAACCTGAATTTCAGCAATACGAGAAGAGGAAGTGTATTTTCGAGCCTCCGCATCGTCGTAGAAAATCTCGGGCGGGGCTTGCAACTCGGGCCGATTTGACATCTTCTTCACTCACTTGGATCACCCGTTTCTCCTTTTTTTTTTTTTTTGTTCTTTTCGTAAGAGGAAATTTGGCTGGAGAAGAAGAGAAAGGAAACGGTAAAAGGGAAGGGAAAAAGGAAGAGAAAAGGAGACGCTGGCGGTAGGAACTCCGGCGACGGCGATGCGACGGAGTTTGAGAGAGTGAAAAGGGCGGCTGGAGTTTTGAAGGGTTAAAAACGCAGAAGATGAGAATGATCTTTCTCGAGGGCTTAAAACCTCAAACCCAAAGCTACGTATTTTTTGGGTCAATTTAATTCGGCTTTTTATTAGTTACGTGATATGTTAATTTAAAAAAAAAAATTTATCACGTTATATATATTAGTAAAAAAATATATTTTTACCAAAAAATACAAATATATTTTATTAGAATTTAAAAAATAATTGCTTATTATTTAATTAAATAAGATATTACTTTTCCTACATAGTCAAAAAAATTAACGCGCCTTAAAAGATAAAAAATATATATATATCTTTTCAATTTTCTTTCCTAGCATTTTTTTCTTATCAAACATTACTGAAAATTAATTAAAAATATTTAAAATGATAACTATTCAAAATGCATAAATTTAAAATAATTGAATTTTGAAATGAGAATACAACATGTAAATTTGAATGGGAATATAACATGTAGAAATTGAGAAGTTGCTCATAGGACATAACTTTATATTGGTGACTTAAAATATCTCTAAATATTTTTTCTTGGAATACTTTAACAATTCCATGTGCCATCCTCGTATGATAATAGAATGTTATGTGTTGTTCATTGATGATAGCAATCACCAAACTTTAGGCTCGACTCATTTTTTGTTGTATATTTCACCTCTTTGTTAGGATAAGGTTAGCTATCCTCACTTTGTTAAGTATATTTTGCATAGCTTCGTATATAAAACTTCTCTACATTTCCTTTTTTTGCATCTAAAACCCAATCTCTTCCTCTAGTACATAGTATTGTTCGTAAGTAATCTCTCATAAACTTGATATATAATGATGGTATAATCAAGTAAAGTTGAATCAAGCCTACACAATGAGAAGTTAGTGTTCGAGATTTATTGTTTGAAATTTAGTTTGAATTTAATTGAGTTTTAATTTTTAAATTTGATTTGAAATAAAAATCAAATTTTTTGAATTTGTTTGATTAAGTTTATTTACCAAATAAAAAATAATTTTAATTTTCATGTTCAATTTCAAATTCGATTATTTATATTCAAATTCAAACTTGAATCGATATAGAAGAGTAAAATAGTAATTCTTATTAAAATAATAAACATATATTAAAATAAAAAAATTCAATTAACCTCATAAGCTACTCAAATCAAACTTTAAGATATTTGAACTCAGCTCACTCAACAAGTAGAGCTACTTGAGCTCAGTTTAACAATAATTGAATTAAATTTAGAGATGTCAATGGGTAAAGTAGAGCATTCTCCATTCTTACCATCGGATTTGTATATTATATCTATTCTCATGCCTATACCTAATGGATATTTTAAATTTATCCACATTCTCATTCTCACAAATATTTAATGAGTATGAGTAATATCTAATTCCCTATACCTATAGCTTTAAAAAAAAAAAAAAAACTAAAATTATTTTTTAACTTTTTTTATTTTTATCTTGTATATTTCATAATTTTTTTTATAAATATATATTAACTATATGTTTTTTAATAAACTATATTAATATTAATTAATGTAAAATAATAATATATATTTATTTAATAAAAAATCTATTTATTGAATATATATAAATATATATGTAAGATATGGGTATAGGGTAAGTACTATATTATCTGTCTTTACCCTGTACCCAATAAAAATTTAAAATCATATTCATCCTTACCTTCATGCCTATAATATAATATCCATATTCATTTCATTTAAAAAAATCGGATTCTGCCTTGAGTATGAGTAAGAATGACTTATCTAATTAAATTTGAGTTTTATTTGAATTAAGTCCAAATAATTTATGAGTACTAATATATTATTTATATTCTTAGATCCAGTCAATGGTGAATCTTGACGTTTAGTTTTGAAAGGACCAAAGTAATATTTTATAATAATTTTTTAAAATATATCAAATTTATTAATAATAAAAAATAGATGCAAACATATAATAACAAAACTTACTAGAAGTAATGCTAATTTGTAAATATATATATATATATATATATATAAAACAAAATGGATATATTAAACAATTGGTTTTACAATTTCTAATTATAGATCACTAATAATATCTTTTATAAAAATAAATCATCATATTTTTTTAGAAATATTAACACATTATTTTATCATATTTAATATTTAAAGTATTAAAGTGAAAAAATTCACAAAAAAATATTTTTTAAATAAAAATTAAATTTTAAAATAATAAAATAAAAGACTTTGATACGATAATTTAAGCCTTCTAATTTTTTACTTGATATTTTTACATTATGAAAAATAAAAAGGTATTTAAACTAATCATATCAATTATTTTGACATGTAACAATTTTCAAACAAAATGAGCATGCATGTTATAGTAAAAAAATTGGTTGAAAAAAGAATCATAATTGAATATTTATCAAATAGATTTTAATTATTTTAATATTTGTATATGTATTAAACTTCAATTTACATGTTTGTAAAAATATAATGCTAGACAAATTTATTCATTTTAAATTGAAAATCATTTATATTAAGTAAACACAAGCTAAAATTTTATATATATTTTTTTGAAATTAAGAGTTGTAATATTTAGATATAAATGATTTTTGTAACTATATATCCAACATAAATACATAGAATAAAGAATAATATATATCAATATAATAAATTTAAGTTTGAGGGAGCCAAATTAGTTTTTTTTAATTAAAAAATTAAAAAATTATTATTAAAATAACGTGTATTAAAAAAAAATTCAAAATTTTTGGGGAACCACGCTCCCCTAGGTTCTTTTAAAGGATCCGCCCACGAATCCAGTCATAAAATGCACCTTCTTCTAAAATGGAGTCCAAGTTAGCTGATCAATTGTTTCGAATGCATAAATCTATAAGAGTTTAACTATTATATTTAAATTCTAGACGCCCTTAAATGTAAACCAAATTGAGTGATTAATGCGTTTCTGTGTATATCCTAAGTGTAAGAGAAAGTGAGCAATTTGAAAAAAAATTTCAGATAAAAATTAAATCTCATCAATTAAATTTAATATTTTATTAATAAATTACATTAGAAATATTAAAAAGCTTTGTATATAAGACATAACGGGCAAAATATAACCATTTGATTGACTAAATATGATATTAATTTGCTGGCCGGAAAAAAATATCTTAAAATTTCTTCATCAAAGAAGCTTGAAATTCAAAACTTTTTACTCACCAAATATAATGCAATAGACCTAATCGGTTGATTGATATAAAATATAAGAAAGAGCAGTAACAAAGGTTTTTTCCTTTTAGCCACTGAAAGTTTTGCAAAATTATGAATTCAAAGAGTTTTGTTTCTTCAGTTGATTTTTTCTTTTCATTATTTTTCTAGTATCCAAACAATATCTGAGCAACCATAAAATCAATGGCATGGTAGTAGTGTCAATGAAAGGGCTTTAAATGAAACAAAACCAGACTTTTAACATAGAAGCTCAACAAGAAAGAAACCACATAATTGTTAAATTGTCAAATTCATCTTCCAAAATGCCAAATTCCCAACTCAAACCCAATGTCGTCCAAATCTAAATCACTATTTGGGTATAAAAGAAACATGTAAACGTAACAATAACTTGTTAAGAACTAGACAGACAGAAAAGCAGTAAAAGCATTTAATCAAAAAGCGAGAATCCCATATCTTCATCCTCACTCTCCTCTTTCTCTTCCTTCTTTTTCTCCTCAGTTGCAGGGGCTTCGGCGGCTGCGGCAGCGCCTCCAGCAGGAGCACCAGGAGCACCAGGAGCACCTCCACCTCCTATGAAGCCTCCGCCTCCACCACCTCCAATAATCACCTGTGCCAAATAAAATATTAAAAACAGCCTATCAGCAGCATGAAACTGAATCATCAGGTTCTATAAATCCAATGAATGATATTCACATCCAATCATTGAACAACACCGAAAAAAATTAAGCTAGCTAAAACCCAACTTTCTTTGTGATGATTGCGGTATTTAAAGATTTCAACGAGTAAAATCCGACCTCATAACCAATCAAACAGATGGTAAATCGGAAAGAGGAAAAAAGAAAGGGAAAGAACCTGGAAAACAGCAGAATTAGGGGTTATAAGAGAGAAAGAGGAGGTGACGCCGCCAGAGGAATCGGAGGAGGCGGCAGCCTGGACAAGCTTCCTCTGGAGCTCGTAGGTGGAAGCAGCAGAACTCTCTATCTCTCCCTCCAACTGTTTCGCAGACCACTGCCCGGCGCTGCTCCTGCACACGAATGTGAATACCCCCATTGTTTTTTTCTTATTTCTCAGAGAGACAATATGAAAGAAAGAGAGTGATCCTTCGTCCGATTCGTCTAGTATTAATAGCATCATATATTGAAAACCCTAGACTTCTCATTGAAATGACTGATTTCTCCCTGCACTATTTTCTTAATATATGTTGTATCCTCCTTCTAGCCATTGTAAATAACATAAAAAAAATTGAAAAAATTGAAAAAATTAAAAATTGATTTAAAATTATAGTATTTAGTTTGGTTTGAATTAATTTTTTTTATTCAGTTTAGATAAAATTTAAATATTAAATGTATATATTAAATGCGAATTAAATTTTGAATAGAGATATAAAAAACTAAAAAAAAATAAATCGAATCGAATTTTATATTTTTATTAATTTTTATATATATTTTAAAAATTATAAAATAAAATAATTATTTTATATATAAATATGTTTAAATATATTAAAAATCTTATTAAAATAATATATAAAAAAACAAAAAAAATAAAATTTAGAAACTAATAATCAAATCGATAGAATTTGATTTAGATTGAATCGATTTCAAGATAAAATCAAGTCAAATTTATATTAGATTTTAAAAATTCATAAAACTATATATTATCTAAAAAAAATCAAACCAAATCTAATCTGATTTGAACTGTTATCATCTATAGTATCCGACCCAATATTATTTTTAACCAAAGTACTCTCCAAAAATATATGTTTTATAGAATTTATTTTTATTTTTATTATTATTAGTAGAATTGAAACTCAATTTTGGGATGTTTTACTTGAACTTGTAATTTATGTATTTATAATTGTTTATTTTTTGTTTAATATATATAAAACATAAATATTATAATATTATAATTTGTGTCAACATAACAAATACAAAATATATTTTTTAGTTTTTGTTAAACCAATATATAATTTTGTTACAATTTTAAATTGTATTATTTTTGTATTTTTATATCACATCACTATCTAATGCTTAAAATTACCATGTAGTTTACTAAGCTTTTTCTTTTTTTAGAAATTTTGAACATATATAATTAAAGATGTCATAATTGTAAATTTTTTAGATCGATAATTAGTTTCTAAAATATCAAAGCAATATGACAACCAAATAAAACAACGCGTACATTATGAGTGTATTTTTGTAAGCTATGAAAATGAAGTAAAATAATAATAATAATAATAATAATAATAATAATAATAATAAATATGATGATGATTTTTTTTGTGAGCAATCTTCATAAAACCTCATGATAGTCACTGCTCCCAGCGATAAGTATTGGTTTCTATCACTTTTCAATGGCAAGCTATGATCTCCCTTTCATGGTGTTTCAACCAAAAAAATCAAAAAACCTTTTTTTGATTTTTTTGGTTGAATGATTTATTTTTTATTCTTAAGATAGAAAAAGGTTATACTACAAAGAATTAATTACAATGATAAATCAAGCATTAAAGAAAACAAACAATTAATCAAACAAATGTTTAGTCTCAATTCAAGCATAAAACGTTAGAAAAATAATGTAATACAAGGCTACTATAGCCTTTTTGTTGAATAGTTGGAGTTGAGCAATTGTGGACCTTCAAATACAAACGAAATAACTTCAAGGCATGTTGCAAATGCCATTTTCCTTAAGTATTATTTTACCTCAACTAGTTATAGTATACAAAAAGGGTGAATCAAAACACCTGCAAAATGCAATAAAATCTTGTCTATTTATATTTTACACTATTATAACAAACCATTAAACATCCCTTCGCAGGAACAAAAATACCTTGTTTTTGCAAGAATTTTTATAGCATACAAAGCTAAAACTACTTGGCTTTAAATAAAAAAGGAATTGGAGAAAGAATAGAGTAATTCAAAATTGAATTGGATGTTATATAAATGAGCTTACATCAATCTCTATTTATAGAGATTGAATCTTAAGGTTATGACTCTTTAATTAAAATGTTTCAATCAACAAACACTTTTTTTTTTTATTAAAACACTTTTCTGGACAATTACTGAGGTAATTATTCATATGACTGATTATTATATGAAAGATCATGCTTTAATACATAAGAAACCTTTCATTCTTTCTAAAAAATCACAACATTCGTATTGAGCATTCGAATACCCTTATCTTGTATTGGTATTCAAATGTCTCTTTGTATTTTTACTTTCAAAATGCAAATAGAAAGTCACCATTCGAATGTTTATATCAAGGCATTCGAGTTCCTATCAAATATAATATTAGCATTCAAATGCCTTGAATAAGGCATTGTAATGCTTGAGCTAGATTATCCATTTCTTTTAAATAAAAGGGTGGTATTCGGATACCTTTTTAAAGGTATTCGGATACCTTTTTAAAGGTATTCTGATGCCTTACTAAAACTTTAAATCTCGCTCCTTTTAGCATCGAAGTTTGTTCCAAAACCTTGTTTTCCTATTTCATTAATTAAATGGCATACTTATTTAATCAATCTTTCATATTTTGAAAATCATTTATAACATTCCTCTGTCATTTTTAAAATAGGGTTAAGTTCTTGTACTTTCAAAAATCTTACACATAAGTAAAAATATTATATAACATTATTTCAAAATCTTCACTTTAGTGATAAAAGTGCTATTGAATTAGTTAAATTGAATAGTAGATCTTATATCTTTTAACCAACCAATTTATGTGACTAGTCATGTATGAATAACAGACACAAATTTTCAAATCCTACAAACGCTTTATTTAGCCAACTAATATAACAAGACATAAACCATTAGGACTATGCAACATTTAGGCATAAAAAATCTTAGATTATCTTAGAAATCTAAACATAGCTCTTTTTTGCATATTATTTTATTTAGGATATCCTAAAATTTATTTTATTTAGGATATCCTAAAATTTATCTTATAAAAGTCTTTGTTATTACTTATAAAACAACATGATAGATATTTTCATCATAATTAGAACTATGTGAGCTTCAATACTTTTTTATTATTGGATTTGACTTTTTTTGGATATGAAGATAGCTAAGCCCCGATACCTGAGCTCTGGTATATGTTAAGACTTCTAAAGATACATCACCCCTAATCTAGTCATATGTTCTTTGTTGGTTGTTTTTTCTTTAATCTATTTTTCTAATTATTTTGCTAAAATGAGCTTCCATTATAATTATGCTAAGTGATGGTATATTTAGTATTATATTATTTTAGTTGTCTTATACGTACCTATATTCTTTGATGGTAAATTGATATGTATGACTTATTAGTTTGAACTAATTTTTTACTTGTTCAAAACTCTATTATTGCTTGATCAAAAAGAGAAAACTATCATTATTACTAGTATTATCTTTTTTCATATTGTTAGAATTGACCTTTTTTTGTTTTTTACTCTTAATTTTAATACAAGCAGCATTGATTGAAATACTTATTTTTTTCCTAATTTGACCAATGGCAAGTTTATGGATCAAATTCATGTCAAATAATATTTTAGTTTCTCAATTTTTGTTAAACACATTCTATTGATATTATACTATTAGTCCAAAGTCTATTTCATCTTTTTATGTGGTTATTGATGGAAATCTTTCTTGCTTTTCACCCAAATTTTTAATATGAAAAGCTATATGTATTAGGTGCAATAAAGTTATATTAATCGGGAATTACTTGACTCAATTCTAGATACTTCTATGAATGATTTTGTGATTTTAGCCTTTTGTATATTTTACATAATTTTCAATGGTCTTGCACGATTAGTCAAAAACCTTGGTGATTTTAGGCATTTTTAGCTTTTTCCATGCTTTTAGAGGGTAAAATTTTGAATTTGATTAGTTTTTACTTATTTAAGTGTGTGGATAATTTAAATTTTTTATATCAAATTTATGTGAAAGGTAGAACTATATTGCCTTGCTTGATCAGTTATTAAACTTAGTGGATTTTAGCCATTTTTTGCACTTTTTATGATCTTCAAGGATAAATTGTCAAACATATCAAGTTATTCATCAATTAGGCACAGTGATAGTTTAGGTTTGTGATATTAAAGTTACTTAAATGTTTGAATAAAGTTAACTTAGTTTGTTAAAAACTCAATGATTGTAAGCTTCTTAAGTATTGCACAAAGCTTAAAATTGTTAATTTGCCAAGTTTTTTGCTCATTTAGATACGTAAATTACTTAAATTTATTATATTAAACTTGCTTAAATGTTAAATAACATTGTGAGTTTTTTTCACTACCATTATTAGTTATTGAAATTGATTATTAGTTGAATTGCGGGGAAAATTTTTATTGATTAAGTTTGGTAAAATTTTCTTCTATATATGGGTGAGGTTTTGCATTTTTCTATTAATTATTTATGTTCTTTTTTAAAAAAAATTAATTTATATTTTTAAAGAAAGGAAACCATTGTAACCAAGATTCTTTTCTTTAACTAACTAATATTTTTTAGTGAAATTTGATATATACTTTTAGAAATAGGAAATCACTTTATTTAAGGTTCAACATTACATTTGTAATTTTCAATTGTTTGTGATATTTTTTATGTTACTTACTTTAAGTAGGTAAACCAGGTATCAACGTTGGAAGGCTCATGAGTTATCAAAAACTGTTTATGTGTCAATACTTTTTCTATTAGGTTAAATTTAATCAACAAGTAGGATATTTAGTTTTTATTCATCTCAACCCATTATGAAAATTTTTATTATTTCATTATTTTTCCAATGCCTCTTCCAAATAGCCAATGAGTACCATATTTAGGCATATGAATAATTTAAACATGTCATATTAAATTTTGAAAAAAGATTAGAGAAATAATTAGATTAATAATTTTTTATGAGACTTTGAAAAAATATTCGAAGAATTTAGAGATAATGAACTTTTGAACTAGCCTAATTTTTTTTCATTTTGATACATAGATAATTTAAAATTTTAAAATTAAACTTTCTTAAATTGAAGAAGTATGTTCCATTACTTGGATTATTATAACAGTTTGTGATTTTTGGTATTTTGAGTGCTTCTTATGCCCTAAAATGTAAAATTTCAAACTTTGCCCAGTTCATTATTGTTTAGGCATATAGGTATCTTAAGTTCATGATA